ACATACACTCGCAAAATGGATTTACTTGGGTTTTCCCGAAACGTCGTTCCACTCAGGTACGAAAACGGCACACCAGAGAAATACTACTTGGTTTTTTCCTATACTTGGAATTTTTAACGACCACTGTAATTATTGTTGTTCGTGGAATACACTAATGGGCTCCACTCTCCTTCTCGTAACTTATGATGCGAGTCCCTCGACTTTACTGGAAAGTTATTCAGTAGCTCCCTTAAATTTAGCCTATTGCCCCACTTAAAATATTTAACTACACGTTTGCGTACCTTATGTCACAGTTATTTCTTCTTACGGTATTTTCACGTTTTAATTGTTGAACTTGATCTGTTGTGTTTTTTTCTTTGCTTGTCTACAAAAACGTATTTTTTTCAATTTATTAGTTTCACTTTTTTTTGTGTCTATCGATTGCGATACATTGGTTTTAGAAAACCTTAGAGTTTAATTGGTTTTGGATGATCGCATTTCGCGCCCTGTACGATTCCGAAATATCGTGAGATTTTTATTCATGGAATGGACATTGCGAAAGAACGTGACTCACATTTAGAGAATTCCATCTCCTTAGCTATGTGAATCACTTGTATCAACTGGAAACTATTTTTTAAGTAAATTCGATTAATATAGGTAAGGTTCATAGGTCTTTGACAATGTGATAATAATAGTTTTATTTGAAATTGTGAAATCTCTTGTATACGAATCGTAATCACATGTTTTTAATTAATAGTTTTAATTAAATTGTTGATTAACTTTGCCGTACGATTTGTTGTCGTGTGCCGAAAATGAAACAAATTTAATAACTAATAATAATATAATTTTATATAATAATTTTGCAGAATTTATTAAAATAAAATACCATATCTCTCGATCTATTAATGTTAGTTTTTATTGTTGTCGACGTTTAAGTATTTTTAATTTATTAAAAGTAATTATAAAATAGTTAACTACCAATCTTTTTTCCTTAATATTTGTTTAAATAAAGTACAAAAAGGTTTCTTTATATGTTTATAAAACTACTTTATAAAAAAAAAAAAATCGAACACCAAATAACCGAAACTGAATGAATTTCAGTGACCTTGCTCTTTATTATCGTGGTCCACAAATATTTTTGCAGTATTTTGCATTATTTAGACATTTCTTCGACACAATACTATAATAACAAAAGATTTATGAATATAATTATGAACTGGGTAAAAAAAAAATCTTTTCGTATGAACTCAACTTTCTACTCGATTTCGTCAAAAACATTGACGTGCAATCGATTATGTGTACGACAAGGTTCTTTATATATATATTAAATTTAAAGTACAAATTTCGTCTCCTTGAAACTCGAAACGACCGTCTGAAAATTTTTATTATCGCGACGCGTAAAAAATATTTTTATACTTTAATTGAAGTTCGCTTATGCTGCGACGTTTACATAGAGCACGTTAACATTTATCAAATCACAGAAAAACTTAGGTTTCGGTATTTCCTTTGATATTTTTCTTACTAATCGTTTGAAAGTGCATTTTGAATTTGATCGTCGAAAGTCGATTAATTTCGGCGTACTCGTAAGTTGTTTTTTCCAAAAATGCATCGCATATCCGTTTGGAAATCGACACACCTTTTCCGGCTTAACTCGTCTCTCCTTAGCGGCGGTTACGAATCCGACTGTGTTTTTTTCCTATTGTCGACAACAAAAACATATCCTATTCGCAAGACCCATTGTGTTCGTTTATTAACTGCAAATTCACATTAATCTATATCGATTTTCGGGTCTAATTTCGTCAACGATTCATGTCTACGTTGCCATCGACTGTATCATCACAATACAAACTCATTTCTGCAGGTATTCGAATTACACTGGTCACCTCGTTCTAGTCATTTTAGTAGTGATTTCGCCATCACGACTACTCCAAGCGGTCGATCGTGCGAAAAAGTTTTTATTCCAACTATCGGAAAAGCTTTTTAAATTACGTTTGTACGGCGATGGTATGGCAAAAAAATATTTTGGCACAGACCGACTATTCATATAAACGGTCGCGTCTCGCGCTATAAATGATGAATAGGTGAAAACGTGATTTGTCGTTTTTTACAACAGTGTGGTGTATGACGTGAAGAAGCGCATGTCGACATTCAGCACCGATGAAAATCCAATGCAACGTGGTGTCCGTGGCCATAGTCTTATGGAAAGTCGTCAAACCAGAATAGTATTGACCGAATCGCGGGCGTTCAGACGTATTATCGTCGATTTCTGTGTTTATGTAATGGTCGACATGAAAAAGAAAGTAATGCCGTCGACGTCCATACCTGTTATTAATTTCTATCCAAACGTGAATAATGGCGGATTTTGGGGTTTTCCCGGGAATTTCGTGTTGAGTACCTTCTGTGCCGCCTCTCCAATAGTTTATTGTACTTAAGCTCCGTGACTATATCGCCTGATCCTGATTTCTAAAAAGTGTCGTTCAAGGTCGACGGAATATTGTGCTTACTGTATTTTTCTACACAAAAAAATGATATATCCGTTGTATATAACCTCTCACCCTAATAATACCGGGAACGAGGATTGTGTAGTTATCTTTTTGATCTATCCTTTTTTTTTTATTTTCCATAACAGGTTGAATTTTTTTCAACTCGATGGATAAATCGATGTGAAAATCTTTTACTCGCTAATTATTTGTAATGCGAAAGAGAGTTGGCGTTTTGTTAATTTGTTATTATGCTACACTAACAATTTAATGCTCTACTTGAATGAAAATTCTAAATTAACCTCTCCGTTTAATAAACCGTTTATCGCTCTCGCACATCTCTCCATTATATTGTCAGTAATGCTAAACATTATAATCCCATAGACCCGCTAATGTGCCTCTTAATAAAGTGCAAATAGTTTTTGCATAATTATTGATTGCTAATGTTATTCTTTACTGAAGTTTTTTTATTTTATCGAAAAATATTAAATTAAGTTTTTAACTTGGCCAAACAACTTTTGTAGTTTTTTTTTAGTAAAAATAACTCGCGATTTTCTTTTTTGTTTGTTAAACATTTTTTAACACGTGGTTTAGTCTAATGTACGTATTTATATATTAAATAATTACCTGTCCGATAACGGAGATCATCACGAGTTTTAGTTTGCTTATACACAAGGTCGACAGCATGTGTAATGCTAACATCGTGTTTTTTTTATTCTCGTTCTTTGTTAATATTATTTTCTTTTACTGTTATCGTTTAATCGTTACTAAAAAAAATATACAATTTTTTTTTTTTATCGTTGCACCACACATATGACCGGCTTTGTTTTGTGTGTCTCTGTCATTTTAAGTATTATTTGAAAACAACAAGCTCGTCTAATTTTAAATAAATGTATTATGCAATTACACAATTACTTTGACGATTCAAAAATTGTTTAATTTTCTCTGGTCGGATATAGTTTTTATGCTATCAAAATATTTTTGGCTAGGATTGTAAACAGTAAAACTTCATGAACGATTTTTCCTTGAAATTCAGGTACATTGTTTTCGAGTCTGTCCAATTATTCTCGTATCCAAAACTTATTATACTGACTGATTTTTTAACTATGGTTCACACAATGTTTAAAAATATAATAACTATATTTTCAGTGGTTAATAGTATTCAACGTTATATAATTTTTAAAGAAAACAATTCGGCCCTAACCCCCTTATTTTTCCCTTAAAATTTTATCGACTCTAGATTTTTAAACGGAACGTTAAACCAACATAAACTATGAAATAATTAATCTAATAAAATGACTGGTCGATAACAACTTTTGGACCAGTATTTTGGATGTTATCAATTCTTCAATATAATGACTGGTGGTGAAGTACAGTGGGGGGGTTTGTTTATATTTATCTCATAAAAACAAGTGAATCGTACCAATTCTTTCGCCTTGTTGTAGAAGTGCTTATGTCTAGTGTTAAAGTAATATTTTAGGTGTATTCTTAACTTTTAATATATGTATATTTCCGTTACAAAAAAATTAAATTTATAAAGAGAAGGAAAAGAACAAATTTTTTTTAAAATTGTAGAACGTAGAATGAAATAAAATAAAAAAAAATTATATTATGTTATATATTTTTAAAGATATTGCGTTAGTCACATTTAAACTATCACGCTGTAGTAGTTGTGTTTAAAAATTCTATTACCTGCTAGTTGTCGTAATTATTCGTTTTCCAGAAATCATATCGATCGTGGCCAATCCCCCCCCCCCCCGAGTTTCAAATAAATACACTGACGCGTTATGCAGTGCTGATTATTTCTTGTAATTATCACTTTAACAGCGCGTACCCACACACTTGTTGTGTTTTATGGATTACTTGGGTACGTTCATGATTTTTTATATCTCGACTATTGGGATTGTGAGAATATTAAAGACACAACCTGCTGTTGTACGTGGTCGTCACACATGTAAATGATCTCCTCTTCTCTGGCACGTGTTGTACGCGCAAGTATTTCACGTTTCATGTCATGTCCGGTTTCTTTGCAGACCGTCCACAGCACGAGGGCCGTTACCCTTTTGTGCGTTTGCAATGTTGACCCACCAAACGTGATCGGTCATCCGGTCGCCTCTCTTTCTCTAGATAACTTCTTGAGCTGCTCGTGTTCACTTGCGTTGATGTTTAAATGGTTTACATCTCGGAAAGAAGAAATGACGCTCGTTTGCAAATAGTTCGATGGGTATTAACGAACCAGACACAAAGGGAACGTTTCATTTGAAATATTATTATATTTACCAGTGTCGGTTACTAAAATTTCAAGGTCCGTGTCTTTTGTTTGCATATTATCGGCTTTTCTATATTGAAATCGTCGGTACAAGTTCAACGACATAGCACTTGGTTTTAAACGGAAATGTCAGTTATCTCGATGCATTGGACGTGTTCGTCTGTGAGATATATCTATAAACTAATTACTGATAATACGCATTAGTCTTTGTAATATCGAGAAATAAAGTGACGCATTTATTTTTTTTTTTTTTTTTTTTTTTTTTTGTACAGGCTGAAGAAATATTATGGATTCCGGGTTTAGCAACATGTTAGAAAAAACAAGAAAGTATTTTCAAGGGATTCCGACGGACGGGCCTTTGTCTTTTCCGCATCACCAGCCTCACCAGCATCACCCAGATACTAATGGTAGGACGGTGATGNTTTTCCGCATCACCAGCCTCACCAGCATCACCCAGATACTAATGGTAGGACGGTGATGACATCTGAACCTATGGTGGAACGCTTCGGTTACCATTCGCACTTGCGGTACAGCTATCAGCCGTATTCGTCACCCGGCCACTATCCGCGCACCGCTGTCGATCCCAAACCGGCCGCTTTTCAGCACCAATTTCAGTCGCCCTCTACGGACATGTTTCAAAAGCGACAGCAAATGTTTCTGACGACCGCCGCTACTTCAGCGGCGAGCGGTTCGATGTCACCGTCACCTTATAAATCTCCGTTTCAACTACAGCCGATCAAATCACCTTTACCGCCTCCGTCGTCGTCGTCATCGTCATCATCATCTTTCAAAGGAACACCTTTGTCACAACAACAACAGCAGCAGCAGCAGCAGCAGCAGCAACAGAAACAGCTCAATCACCAAAATTCAGCATACAAGTATTCGCTCAAACCGCAGCAACCATCTTCGTTTTCAATTGTTCCGCCTCAACCATCGCCATCGCCCTACACCGTTCCTAAACCGCCGCAAACGCCGTTTACCGTGTCAAAGGAACAGCATGGCGGTTTACAGCCCACTGTACCCGAAACACCACCGCCTACCCCTCATTCACATTTTTACAACAGGACACCGTCACACAGTCAAGCTTTGCTGGACAGAGATTATTCGAGATTCAAGCCAATCCACACGCCTCCCAAGTAAGTCAGAACTTTTTTGTCGGTATATTCGCATACGTGAAAGAATATTTAATTAATATTTACTTAATCTAAAAATCATAATTATGAAATAAAGATTTATCGAATGTCAAGTACACCTTCCGTCTTATAAAATAAAGTAATTTTAATATTAATATCTTAAATGTGAATTGATTTTTGTTCACTAATAATCAGCAAAAATCTGTTATATTTCTCAGAAAACTCCCTGAACGTTTTAAAGTTTTAAAAGTATAATTACCCGTGTTGTTGTTACGTCATAACTCGTCATGTATTTCATCCATAATAACTCTTTCTTTCGGGTGGGACAACGATCAGCAACGAACTACTAAGCGGCGGCCCGTGCGCAAATAGTACTCCCTTATCATAGTCTTAAAAATAGTCGTCCCCCTCCCAGTGTAGGCTCAGGAACCATCTCTTCACACCCGGTTTTTACGGCACTGATCACATTTAATGTTACTAATCACAAAAAATTACTTATTAATTATAAGTTATCATTTTACGAATGGTTTAATTGTTATTTCAGATTTGTTCCGTTAGAAAGACCCAAGTCAGAATTACCCGCAGGTATGAGCTCGACTTCTAGCGGATCACAATCATCACATTTAGCTATCAGGTACGATCCAAAACTGGAGCAACCTCGCAGTGGAGTTCGAGCTTTGCCGATAGCTCAAGCTAAACCGGACGCCAATCGCGTAGTGGTACAAAAACCTGAACCGTTAAGGTATCACCGAGCAGTGGCCGCCGACGATAAAAGGCCAGCTTCGGTGCAGCCTTCATATTTGGAATCCAGGCCGTTCCAAATAAAACCTTACGACGGCGGAAGTACTAGCAACGGAAGTAGTAGTAGCTCCAGCAGTAGTAGCCAACCGTATCATAGACCGTTCGCTCAACAATCTTCGGCGACGTCTGCCAGCGATCATCGCTGGAATCTGTTCGGTCGACAAGACGCTCGTACGCCAGTGTTTCAACCTCTTCCGACTATTAACGGATTCCAACAACAGGCCTCATCGGTGACACCCAAACAACAGCTCTCCAGCGTGCCGTCGGTCAGTCAACCACAACAACAACAGCAACAGCAGCAACATAAACAGCCTCAATTACCGCAACCTCAAGTCCCCACTCAAAATCATCCGCTCAATTTACAGAAATCAAATATTCCTGTTAGACTACCTATTCAACTACCTCCACAGGTTAGTATTATTTTATAAATAATTAACAAGTTTTAAATAAAATTACAGTTCATCGCTAACATTTTATTTTTTTAGTAGGATTAAACAAACGTCTACGAGTTATATATATATTTTTAATTTAACTTAATAGTTACTACATCGTTGATTAAAAAAAATTCGGCTGGTACTGTATGTTCTGCACATTTCCCTGCATTTTTCGTGTTTACTGTATTAGAAATATGTTTTTTAACCAATTATGAGTATTTGGATTATTTTTTACATGTAATCAGTGTTTCATTTGACTTGCTTCTTTTCTAGTCGTATTTTATGTATGAGCGCACAATGGGCTTATTTTTCATTGTTCTTCCTAATGTTCACTTATTCTCAAACTTAACTATTAGAGGGGACTCGCCTCAACTCTACAAGTGAGAAAATCTTTCCTATATAAAAACAATTACATGTATCAGAAGATTGAAAAGCAAGGAAGTCTCGGGAATTTTCGTCAGTTACACCTATACTCTAATCCTAAATTAAAACTTGAATGTTTTGGTATGATCGTGATAGATATTTTAATCTTAAGGTTGGACCTTAAGCACATAGAAATGTTACAGAATGTATTTGTGAACAACGTAGTATTGTTAATTCAAATCCCTCGAAGATTTGAGTTTAGTTAACAATGGATGTGTAGAATTACACAAGACGACATGCATTATCAGTACATCGAAAACTTGCCTTGGGATAGATCAGAATCCGCGATAGTTCTGTTGTTAATTTTTGTTAGAAATGAGATAAAATAATTAAATTAACAACCCTTATTTGTAAACGATTATCGAAGTTTATAATTTCAATTTGATTGTTGTAGTATAAAAAAAAATTATACATAATTTTTTTTAAAGCCGTGGTGCAAATTTAATTGTTTTTTACACATCTAATATTGCGTTGATAAACTGAATGAATATTACAGTAAAAATCTAATTTTTATGTTATTGATGTCGTTCAACATAATAACGGTTTCTAAATTTTACTCAAAATAGACAAAACACAATGAACACAATTCAACTGTCGTTGAACATTTGTCAAATTCGTTATCAATTCTTTGAAATTCATCATTTAAAAACCTATTTTCATAGAGGAATTGCCTTGACAGACATGCTTATCTTGTTTTGACCTCCATTGGTAACGTTGTCGTCTCTTATTACTGTTGAAACCAGAGTTTGTTCATTTGTAATAGAATAGTCGTAGTGGGTTAATTTTTACAGTGAGTATAATTTAAAAAAAATATTTCCATAATTCTGAAATATATTTGTGTTTACATTTTGAATATTTGAGTTGCTGACATAAATACGTAAGCTGACTTAAGTCAAAAAGAATTATACTTTCGTAATTATATTTCATTATTTAAAATTTTGAAAGATTATCGGTCTATAAGAATTATAAGAGAATAACTGTAAATTTAATCTAAATCAATTAAATTGACATTATAAAGTTTTTATCTTCGTTTGAACTTGGTAAGAATAAGAATGGAGATTGTATCAAAAATTTTGACCAATCAAAATGTTATTAGACTTCTGGGTATTTATGAATTCATTAACAATTTTTAAACCTATTTTATCTGTTAAGTAAAATTAAAACTATATTAAAAATATTATTTTATCTGTCTTTATTATGTCTATTGGGTGGACTAATCGAGGAATATAACGTTTTTTTTATGAATTTCAAGGTTCAGTTTGATATATAACTAACTAGTAAAATTGGTGTTGAGTTAAGAACTATAGGCTTTGAGAAGTTGCTTAAGAGTGTGCGTTTTATGTATATGTGTTTTTGAAGTCACCTTGGATGATGCCAAAAAAGTGTTCAGCCAGTATGTAACATCGTATGATGTTCTCTTGTCGTCCGCAACTAATTAAATGAATTAAACAAAGTATGTTACATGCTAGTAAATAAATTTTCTCTGATACAGTTCTCTTTTTTGTAAAAACAGTTGAGTATTTCCAAAGGTAAACTGTTATAGGCTTAGTGTTGAAAAAATATGACTAAAAGTATATTTTTTGTTGCATGTCCTTATTTATTTTCGCAAGTAATGAATGTGCATTAGCGAAATCGTATATAAATATTTATAGACTAACATTTTCACCTATTAAACAATATAATATTATAAATTTGTATTGATATAATATATCAGCATTAAAATGAATGTACATTTTATGATTGAATTATAAACTAATTACCTTGTATATTATTCGGAAAGTTATCAAAATTTTACTTCCTAAAGTCGTAGCTCAAAAAAATTTCCAAGAAAATTGACCGATGTGTAATTTTTCTGTAATAATTAAACTGGAATTAAATTATATTACAAACATTTAATCATTTTTTTTTTGTTAAATAAAACATTTATATCTAATGTTAATTTTTATTTTTACAGTTAAAAATTACGCGTGATAATAACAATACACAAATGACTACTTTGAGGTTTGAGACAAAACGCGAATCTCCTTTGGATTTATCTGTTAAAACTGTTTGCCGTTCAGCAGATTCTACTGATGATAGGTTACACCCATTTGGACAAGATATTCCAAAAGTGAACTTCAAACCTGATTTTAATGCCTGCCGTTCAGTACCTTTGTTGCAGCCAAATAATTCTCAACTTGGTCATCAACAAGTATCACCACCATCTTCATCAGCACTTCCTCAGCCTCCAGTTAACTCAAAATCATCCGATGAAGCATGGCGAGTTGCTATTGATAGACAAATAGAACAAAAATTTATTTCGTATACATCTTCTAAAAAGCAACAACATAGTCCTGCTCAAGCAGATAAACGGGTTTTAGAAATTTTAAAACAAAATATTGAAGCCAGAGATCAGAGCAAACCACAAATTGCTGAAGCACCATCTACACCAGCCATGGTATTTTCAGCACCACAAAGGAAAGATCCTTCAACCACTCCTCTCAAGAAAACGGATTATTATATGGCAGCTGAGCGAAGTGGGACACCATTTCCCAAAAAAATTGATTATTATATGGATAGGGCCTACTGCAATGCACCACGTATCAGAACCAAAGCAGAGAGAAAACAAGTGTGTATTTTATTAAAATAATCTTATTTAAAAAATAATGGTAATTAAACTAATTTTATTGATTTTCTTTCAGATATCAGCTGAAGGTTCCAGTGGAATGAGAATGAGTAGTCCAATGGCTGCAGCTACAGCTATTTCACCACATCCATTTTTACCTTCAAATAATACAACTCCAACCAAACAAGAACAAATTCCAATTGGTCAAACTGAAGTAGCTTTAGACCTCAAATTAGAAATAAAGTATGAAAAATTATTACTATGATCATATTAAACTGTTATTGCATTAATGAGACACTGAGAAAATCTTAGCAACCCATTTTAAATCAGGGCTGATTGGAAAAATATTTCTCATTATAATTATTCTATATTTTGAACAGATTTTTGAAATTAAATTATAGACCTAGAAATTTTTACAATTAATTGATTCAGCATATATTGTTAAATTGATTTTTACCGGTTTATTAACTGGTAGAAGTTATAACTTTCAATAAGTCAACATTTGTCAATTTGACTAAAAGTAAAAAATCCACATATATGTTTAAAAAATAAATAAGAATAACTGACATATGTTACATTTATATATATATATATTTTGCCGTCTTTATCCCAACTACTTGGGGTTGGCCACCCTTATTATAACTTCTAAATAACATGACCTCTCATATCATCTACGCTCACATCAACCATACTCTTATTGCATTCAATAACATCCCTCCATCTCTTTTTTTATATCTTCCTCTACCTCTTCTTACTTCAACATTCATTTCCATAACTATTCTCACAGCTTCCTATTCCTCTCTCCTCATAACATGACCAAACCATCTAAGTCCATTTTCTCCTATCTTATCCATTTTTGACACTATACCTATACTCTCTTATATGTTTGTTACTTATTTTATCTTCTCTAGTCACTCTACTCATCCAGCTGAGTATTTTTATCTCTATTACACTATTATACTCTATTATTTATTTCTCTGTTCTATTCTCTTGTCAACCTCCCAATACTCTACATCATATATCATAGTCTGGTTTCACTACATTCTTATAGAACTTACTTTTCAGTTTCATTGAAATACTCTTATTGTATAACACAACACCATAAGCTTCTATTCACTTCACCTACCTACACTTAATCCTGTGTTTATCATCATTATTAATATCACCATTATTTTGCATGGCTGATCCTAAATATTTAAAACTTTCCACCTCTCTTATCACGTCTTCACTTATTGTCACTGATCTTCTCAAATCACTTACTTTGTGTTCTCCTTTGTTAAACTCATACTCTATATACTATGTTTTAGTTCTATTTATTCTTAATCCCTTTTCTTCAAGAGCTGATATCCACACCTCTAGCCTTTGATTAATTTCTTCCCTATTTTCTCCTATTAACACTATATCGTCAGGGAACAACTTGCACTACAGTACCTTCTCCAATCTGAATGAGAGTGAAAACATTTAAAATAAATACTAAGTTGTCTATGTATATGTCCAAAGAATGGAGTGGGAATAACTGACATATGTTATATACATCATAATATAATAATACCAAAACTTATTTTTAACATAAAAATTTAATATTTAATTTATTATTTAATATATGGATTATATTTTCTACATAATATAATTTATGAATGTCTAATATTTTAATTAATTTAAAATAATAATTTTCAAATAATTAATATTAGATAATCTTATTTTAGGAGCGAATCATCAATAAAAGAATCAGATATGGGCCTATCAAACAAAGAAGACATAGAAAAAGATGATGATGAAGATTTCTGGATGAATACATGTAATTCTTTTGTATCTCAGTTAGCAGAAACACAAGAAAAGAAAAAAGTAAAACCAACAGTCAAAAGAAAGGTGTCTAAAGAACCCAAAAGAAAGTACACTAAACGTTTTAAAACTGAACCACTCTCAGATTCTGAACAAGAAAAAATAATTTCTTGTAACATAACAAAATCCATTGAAAATGTAATTAAAAATGAGAAAAATTACATAGATGAAGAAGTACCAGAGGCTGATAAAGAAAATGATACAAAATCAATTTTAACAGAAAATATTGATGAAGAAAAGTTCTCTAATGAGGAACTTTCAAAAGAAAAACTAGATAAAAAACCAAAGATTGCTGTGCTGAAAAAGAATACTAAACAAATTAAAGTTAGAAAACCCTTTATCAAAAAAGTTATTAAAAAAAAAGAATTTAAAAAAGGTATTAGAAAAGAAAATAGTAAAAAAGAAGATAAAGAATGTAATAAAGAAGAAAAGAAAGATCTAAAAGTATACAAAAAAGATTTGAAAAGTGATAAGAAAATTATAAAAAAAAGAGACAGAAAAGATTTTAAAAAAGATGTAAAATTTGATAAGAAAGAATTTAATAAAAAAGAAGAAAAGAAAGATTTAAAAAAGGATGATGACAAAGAAATTAAAGGAGAAAAGAAAGATATTAAAAAAGAAGACAAAAAAGATTTGAAAAATGATTCTAGAAGAGAAATATCAAGAAAAAGGATTGAAAAAGAGAATATGACAAAAAATGATAATTTAAGAAGATCTGATGGGAAATTTAATCCTAGACAATCTTTACGGAGAAAAAATTCATTGAAAGACTATACGTTTGCTTTTGATGAGCTCCTTGATGATGCATTTGCACATTTTGAAGAAGAAAAAATACCTACTAGACGTAGACGAAAATCTTCTCCATCTCCATCATCAACTCCAACAATTGTAAAAAAATTAAAAGATAAAGATAACGAATCTCTAAGAATGAGACTCAGATCTCGTACTAAGCCATTGATAAAACAAGAACCTATTAAAAAGAAAACCATTCCTAAACGTAGGAGAAAAAAATCATTAGGTGAAAAGTCATTAAATACTCCTGACTGGAAAGATGAATTATATAAATTTAAACGCTCATTGCGCCTACCATCTAAATTAATATCTGTTGTATCTCCTCCAACTGGCACTGTAGCAGCTGATCAAGTATCACTTACATCTATAATGGACATTACTCATTTACCTGTTAAAGAACCTAAAATAAAGTCTAGGTTAGTTGGTAAAAAAGGTTCCAATAATAAAGTTAAGCGATTAGGACATCTATTTGGACGAAGAGATGTTTTTAAAGGTCGAATTAAAAGGGAAAAAATTGTATCTGCTGAAAAGTTATTGCAACGAAATCTAAGAAAACGTAGACAAGAAAGTGTTAAAAAAGATGAAGAAATCAGCAAAGAAATGGTTGAAGTTACCGCTTCACTTATAGAAGAAGTGATGGATGAAAAACCAGCACCACAAATCTTATATAAAAGAAAATTAATGCGTAAAAAGTTTCGGTCGGGGTTTGATTATATTAAAAAGAAAAAAAAGAAAGGTGCAAATGAATCTGTTGAAAAAAAACCCGTGTTAGTTCAGGCGCAATTGAAGTCGATTACTCCTAGATTTGCCTCAGAGATTCAAGCAGAAGTTAAGGGTTGGATAGTGAATAAGGGACATGGTGAAACAATATTACACAGAGCATCTAGATTAGGTTACAAGGTAAATTCCCTTAACAGTTAACACAAATATTTTTCTAAATTTTATTTGTTTTTATAAATCTAATAAATTATAAAACTTCTTAAAATTGCTTGCCTATTATTTAAAGGATGTTGTTGGTTATTGTATTGAACGGCTGGAATTTACCCCTTCAGTTGCTGACAATGCGGGGTATACACCTCTACATGAAGCATGTTCACAGGGACACTATGAAATTGCTAAGTTATTACTTCAATTTGGTGCTGATGTCAGTGCTAGTGCACAAGGAGGAATAAGGTTAATATTTTATGAAACAATTTCTTATAAAATTGTATTAATGAAATAATTATTTAAATTTTTTTGTTTGTTCAGACCCTTACATGAAGCTGTAGAAAATGGTGATGTACATTTAGTACGATTGTTACTCAGTTATGGTGCTGATCCTAGATTAGCCACTTATTCAGGACAGTCTCCTTTATCACTAGCTACTGATAAAACAACAAGAATGCTGTTAGAACATCATGTGAATGACATCCAAGGCACAGGTAATGTGCCTGTATGGAATTTTGATGAAACATCTTTAACAAGTTAGTATAATAGTTCATTGTCAGTATTGGTTACCTTACTAATAAAATATTTTTGCTATAGTTGATGCTCAAAGTTTAGATAGAGTGTTGTGGTCATCACCACCTCAATCTTCACTTGAAAACCCAACGTTTCAGTTTGAATTTGCTGACCAAATTCTTCCAGAAGTGTACACAATACCTGAATGTGGCGAAGACACTGAATGGGTTTTATTTTCAGAAGTGTCAACTGCTTTGGCTGTAAAAACAGTAGATGCTCTAGTCAAATTACTCAATGATGAAAATGCAACAACTACTATTGCCTTAGATCATTTTAATAATAAATGTTTAACAGCTACAAAATCTTTAGGATATAATAAACCAGAACCCATAAAAAATTCTGATAATAGTGATAATATTGTCCTAGTGCGCTACAACAACAAGATCAAAGAATTATTGGGTGTGGATATGTACACAGTGAGTTGACAAAAATAAAATTCACTGGATAAGTTACCAGGATTTTTTTTACTTGTAAGTTAATAATAAACTTACATTTTAAAGCAAACAATATCAATTTAAGTTACCCATTTTATCTTATAATATAAAAAGAACAATTTTAAAAATGATTAGTTAATTTTTATTATTTGCATACAAGTAGTACTATTTTTATTTTGTTACTTATAATTAATTGGTATACCTCTTTGTTATTTCTCTAATTACAATTTAAGTTATAATTATTACATAGAAATTTTAAACTAACGTTTGTTTTGTTTGGTCTTTGGAGTGCAAATATTTATATAATGTGCAATTTTATTATATATTTTTATGTACTATAACATAATGAATTTAATAAGTAACTAAAGCAAATGTAGTTATTATCATTTTTTAGCTCATTTTTAAATTTGTGTTAAATACTATTAGACAAACAATGGTTATAAAATTAATTTCTTGTTTGTGTTAAACTATTTGTGGTGTATTGTGATGTTTTTTTTAAGGCGTTGTTAATTATAATTTTAATGTGTCTATTTCTATTTAAACAAATTATACCTAAAAGTATAATTTACTTTAGTATGATTATTAATTTCTCTAAAATTATACTGTCATTTTTTATGCCACATAATATTTGTATTTTGTAATTTAAAATATGTTGTTTTAAATTAAATAATATTGATGTACATAATTTATAAATATACAATTTCTGTTTATAAATTCTTGTTGATAATTTTAAAACGAAAGTATGATTTTGAAGCTGTATTTGATGTTCATTTACCTAAAAATTTTCTTCTTTGACTTTGATAAAGTTGTTTTAGTGACTTCTTCCTTTTAATGATATTAATGTAGTACAGTAGGAGTCCATTACGTTTAGACAAATTTAATAATTTGATCTACTGAATATTTAAAAAAAAATTTTTTGCCATCTATTAAAGCAATTGAAGAGTCATACTTAAAACATACAATAAAAACTAAAAATATTAATAAAAGTACAATTGATTGACTTTTGTAGTCTGAATATATTCATATCAAAATAAATAACAAAAGTAAAATGAAATAAATAATCTACTCAATAATACAATAAATACTTTATGCTGTATTAAATTATAAAAAATAAGTTTTTTTGTTCGTTCAAACTTGAATCTAAAATTTAATATATAGTTATAACTAAGTATAAAAAATAAAATAAAATTAGATACAGCAGTACTGTGTCAAATATTAAATTATCATATGTTCGTAATATTTGAAATAAATAATTTGTACATATATTACATTACACTATTCAATGGGTACATTTTACTAAGTACACTACAGTTAAGAATTTTTGGGAACTAAAGAGAAACATAAGTTAGAACTATAAAAAAACAAAGCCAAAATCAATTACTATTAATAATAAACTCATTACAACAAAATATAACTTATAGTAGATAAATATATTATTAGTTATTAGTTATTGTTAAATATTTAAATTTGAACTATTCGATTTACAAATCGAGCAAAATCTATTCAAAATAAAATTTGTGTTGGAACTTTCAAAATTTTGTTACATATTACATTTATTCACGTGTTCCTTTTCTGCGAATCACAGCCAACAACAATAATATATTGAGTAACACAACTTTACAAATTAAAATAGAAAAGAATTAGCTGCATTTAATGTAACTGTTATTATTAATAGTTGGAGGAGTATGAATAGTATTACAATGATAAAAATAACAATAAATATACATAATATGATAAAAAACAAATAAAGTGATATTAGGCATCAAAATCATCTTCTTGTTGACTCGAAAAGTATGATACCAAACCACCAAACTCGCTGCTATGATCACCACCTTTTGTTGTTTCATTTGGTGGTACAGGAGGTCTGAATGTTGGTTCAAATGTTGGAGGTGGTAATGATCGTTGTTGGGAATGTAAAACTGGATTTCCATATTCATTTGGATATGAAAAGTTGTTGGGAGCATGATACAATTGACCCTGAGTTATGGATACATAGGCAGGAGGTGGAGGAATAGGTATCTTAGGTCTATACCCTGAAAAATTAGGGTGTGTTGGTGGCATAGGTAATGTTTGCTTATTCAAAAATCCTTGAATTGGCAATCTAGGTGGTACAGGATAAGCATGAGTAGGTGGGGGAGCAGTTACTTTTTCTTGTGAATGAGGATATGTAGGATAATCAATAGAAGTAGGAGATTTTTGAGGATGAGAAGATAAAGGTATTTCATTATTTACTATATGGTCAATAATGGGTTTAGTTGGTAGCAACAGTCGTTGATTTGGAATTTCTTGAGTTTTTGTAAAATCTTTTTGTGGTGATATATGTTTAACAGGAAACCGTAATTTTTCTATAACTGTTTCTTGAATAGGGGCTATATAGGGAGATTTTATTGTAGGTTGTATTTTTTCGGTACAAAGTTCTTGAATAGGTATTGCACAAGGAGGAGATTTTAAGTTTTCAGAATTTGATTCTTGAATTAATACAACGTTCGAGGGTGATTTTTTTGATCTCGTATCTTTTTGAGTTTCAGGCAAAGTATCATTTTCTTCATTATCATCATTATCATTTTCATCATCAGGTTCTTCATCTTCTATATCTTCTAATTCATCATTGATTTCGTCATTTTCTTCCTCATTACTTATTACATACTCATCTTCATCATCACTTAATACTTTGCGACGTTTTGATTGGACTACCTTAAATACAAAATATTATTATTGAAGTATATCTAGTTATATACATTCAGAGTGATTGGTTTAACATAAATTAATACAATAATAGGAAAAAGTTTTGCTTTTTTTACCTACTTATATTTCTTGATTTATCAGCTATAAATTACTTTTTAAAATTATATCTTATAACTTATAGGAGTACCACTTTATTTTTTCAAAAGACAACATACATAATTGATATATTAAATATCATATTTAATAGACCACGATGTAATTGAGAAAATAACTAGTCCATAATAACTTTTGGACCAGTATTTCAAAAGTTTATTATAACAATTTAAAGTTACGACTGAAGATGAGGACTAGGTTCAGCTACTTTATCATTAGTTATTTTACAGCTATACTCTTCCTCCTGTCTAGGTAAAAAATGAGAATAACTTCCAAAGTATTAATCCAAGAGTTATTATCGAACAATCATCTTAATTGCATCATGGTCTATTAAAAATGCTATTTAATATATCAATTATGTATGTTGTCATTTGAAAAAAATAAAGTTGGCACCCCTATAAGTTGTAAGGTATGATTTTAAAAAGTAATTTATAGCTTATAAATCAAGGAATATAAGTAGGTAAAAAAACATTTTTTCCTATTATTGTATTTATTTTGAGAGTAATCGAGTGATTTATGATAAACTTATTAGTTAATAATACATAATACAAAGAAAATTGAGTTTTAAATAATAAAATAAGAAAGTAGATCTCTCAAATCTTGCTGGTTAATTTTTTTATAATAGAATATAAATATATAAAATTTAGCAAGTCGTTTTTACTAAAATTAAAATTAATAATTTAGGTATAGCAACCTAAAGATAATATACATTAATTGTAAAAACTAATTTGAAACTTTATATTATACCATTTAATCTACAAATTTTATAGATATAATATTAAATTAATTGGTATGATATGCTTTAGATAATAAACTTAGGTGATCATACTTCTTCCTCTGAATCATTAGATTCTGCATAAGTTATTTGTTTCCTCCTAGTTCTTCTGAGAGGTTTATTATCAGAGTCAGAATCTGAGTTTATTCCATATTTTACCTGAAATATTCAATTAATAAATAAAAAGTTAAGTACAGTCTAAATCTAGAAAAGAGGAAATGAGAAATTTTTTTTCAGATCAGTATTAATTGATAACAGACAAAGATTCAAGTTATTGCTGTGAAATACTTCATTACATATTTGAACAAATTTAAAAATAATTGATAATATCTACCAAAAATTTCACAATTTTCATACATAAAAAATTAATCATTGAAATATATATATATATTTTTTTTTTTGAGTACATTAAATTAGCTATAATTTGAATAAGTTAAGATAATATAAATGTTTTGTTGCTACACAAAACACTTCAACAACCAACATGTAGACTAAAAATTGTATAAATTTTGGCTTTAAAAATAAACAACTCTTAAAAAACAAAGATTTTGTATAGTTTTCTTTTTATCTTAAAATACATTATATTATTTTTAATTTGATGTAGATTTTAAGAAGTCAAGTTTTTTGGATCATTATGAAAAATTGAAAAGAAAAAAATATTGATATAGTTTGTATGCCCCCCTGTTGTTACATTAGACAATGATTGAATTTTCAAAAAAGGTACTTTGTTTAAAGTCTAAAATATTGTCCAAAAATTTTCATAATGATCTGTCCAGTTTACAAAAATTTATTCCAATATAAAGTGAAAATTAAAAATATTCACATTGACAGTTTTTAACAATAATAATGTTTTCGAACATTTTCTATTGTAAAGAGGATTAAGGAGAAGCAGAGTTCTTATAGATAAACGTAAAAAAAATATGATGGAGTAAAATCAATAGCTTCTCAACTACGCATCAAAGATAAATTTAATAAAATAAGTCATGGTTAAAAAAATACATACATTAAGTCCTAATAATAGTAATTTTAAATACTAACTAATTTGCTACATGGCTTTAGCAATCATGTTTTAGCTTCGATGCGAAGCTGAAAAGATATTAATTTTACTGTTTTTTTTTTTTTTTTGTGTCTGTTACCACTTTTTCTCAGCTCTCACTGAACCGATTTCTTTCCAAAATACGTCAAAAGATCACAAATCGTATCTAGTTGGAGACATTACCCTTAATAATTAAAAAATATTCCCTCGTTCCCCGCAAATGGGGGAAACCTCCAAAAAAATTACAAATTTAAAAATCGCTAATTTTCGAAATTTTTTTTTACTTAAAACTGCCATAACTTTTTCAAAAATAAACAAATTAATATAAATTTTTTTTTTATAGATGCTTGATATCTTTACCTATCATTTGGTATATTTTTTTTATAAATTTAACCCTTTACCAGCCCACAGAGGGATTTCAAAATGATAACTTTTTCACAAAAAATTAACTTTTGAAAGTGTTCCGGAAATACTGACACTTTTATGTATATCTTAAATTAAAGCTAATGTAATGTACTTTATTATGGAAAAAAAAAAATTTCCGACTTTATTTTGTCTTCACGGTTAAAATGGCCATCGAATGCTATTTTTGTGTTTAATTTCTCGATTTTATATTTTACATTTTTTACTTTAAAATGCTATAACTTTTAAAAAAATGTATGGATTAGTACAATTTTTTCATGAGAAGTAGTATTTATATACATCTTTTATTCGACAAATTTTTTTTTTAAATCGGACCATTTCCCTTAATACAGGGGGGGTTCAAAACATAAAAAAACATAGAGAAAGTAGAACTTTTTCAACTTGACTTTTGAAAATGTTCCGGAAAGTTTGACACTTTTATATATATCTTAAATTAAAGATAATGTAATATATTTTATTATGAAAAAAAAAATTTGACCTCTGGACTTGTCTTTGTTGTGAAAATGGCTACCAAATGATATTTTCGTGTGAAAATTCTTGATTTTATTTTTTACATTTTTAACTTTATAATGCTATAACTTATTGAAAAGTGTATGGATCAACACAATTTTGTTATGAGAAATAATATTTTTTAATAATCCCTTTTTCATTCAGGATATTAATAAGAAAATAACAGATCATGTAGCTTTTGGAATAATCCACCAATTTTTAAAATTAAACACTATCTAAAGATTTGCATCGAAGCGTTTTTTTTTATAGTGATTTTAATCACTGTCAGATATCATTATACTTGATCCAACTATGCCACGTCACCACTGTGCAGCGACCCCCCTGTGATGGGTTTCTTTAATAATGAAAAAAAAATAATTATAATAATTTTAAAGTTAACTAAAAAACAAACTATACATATATATATTACCTTTGGTTTTCTAGTTTTCTTAGACTTCGATTTATTCAGCTCTCTTTTTGACCCTTTAGATTGTTGAAATGATGAAGAAAAGTTATTACATCGTTTTTTTGATCTCTTGCCCCAAGTTAAATCTTCATCTTCACTTTCTTCTGTATTTGACCATTCTTTTTTTCGCTTATTTTTGGCTTTATAATCACTTTCATCGCTTGTGTCATCATTAACTTTTAAAAAGACAATATTGATTTTTTTTTTTTATTCTTGAGAAACAATTTTAGTATAATGATCAAACTTACTGAAATCTGGATCAACAACTGTTCTGCGATTTCTTCCAGATCTTCTGGTAGGCTGTGAACGTTTCTTAATAGAATCATCACTATAATCACTTGCTTCTTCTTCATCTTCATCATCTTCATCTCTAAAATAAAAGCATAAATAATTATTATTCTTATAACATGTAAAATTGTCATTAGTACATAAATATGCTGAACTATATCGAGCCTATTATAGGACTAATATTTTAAATATAATATATAAAATTGATAAAAAATTATTATATTACATAATGATTTAATTATCATAAATTACTCACAAAATAAAAGTAAATTTAAAAATACTTTTTTAGAATTTTTTGGTGACATATATTTTTTGATTTATTAAAGACATTTTCATGATCATCCATTATACATGGGTGTCAACTTTAATTTTTCAATGGCAACAAACTTAATTAACCAGCTTATTTATTAAATAATGATCTATATAAGATAATATTGGTCAATAATAACTTTTGGATCAGTATTTCTGAAGTTTTTATTACTTTTGTACTAGGCAGAAGGAGCTTGGCCTGAAAATGTCTAACGATAAAAAAAAACCACAACCTTACTTCTAGCCTTATCCTTCCAGTTATTATTTTAAATTGTTAATAACATTTGAAATACTGATCCAAAAGTTATTATCGTGCAGTCTTTAGATCGTTATCCAATAAATAAATAAGTTAATTATGTATGTTGTTATTTAACATGGTTGCCACAAATTAAAATTTTTCAAATTCCTGACTTTTTCATGAGTTTTTCAGTCAATTTATAAAATAAATTTTTTTTAAAAATATATGACTAAAGAAGCAAAGGCATTCATTATTTATGTGGAGGTTATCTAATTTCATCAACATCATTCTTATTTATATTGTTGTTTGTTTTACAATAATAATTTTGTAAATAGATGGGGTTCAACCTTAAAAACATTTCTTAATCCATCTTCCTTCAAGCCCAGACATGTGAATATACAGAGTATCTCAGACTTAACTAACAACGCTTAAACCTTTTGTTACAATTATCATTTTATTGGAATTTTTTTATTAATAATTATTACCTTCATAAAAACATTTAAAGTGTATTTTTATTATTTATCACTAATAAATAAAAACATATTAATTTTTTCATAATTGTCATTTTTCAGTTCTTTTTTTACAAACAAAATTGATGGATCAATAACAATTTCAGATCAAGTAATATAGTTACAACAATTTTAATATATAGAGTTGGTTATAAAACTCGGCAAAGTTTACCTACACTAGTGCACCCATCCTTATTAAATACCCACTCTATGAATAAAATACTTGTAAAAAAAAAGTGTTCAAGCAGACAAATGGGAAAGAGCTATTATTAAATTTTGTCAATCATACGCAATTTCTGACTATTGGGAATTAGAAAAATATGGATACAAAGGAATTTCAGTTCAATTGAAGTTAAAAATTTTAAAGGTAAATACTATGGTATTCAAATGTATAACTGAAAAAGCTTTTATTATGTATTTTTGGTCCCTATTATTTAATATCTACAGAATTTTAATGAGGCTAAAAGGAAAATTTTATGAGATTGTAGTGATGTATTGTTCATAGTGTTGGGCGGTTGATAAGAGAATGAAGCAGAGATGAGAATGCTTAGATGGATGAGTGAATTAACTAGAGAAGATAGGATTCAGAACCAACATATAAGAGAGAGTATAGGTGTATCATATCTTATCTAATTGTAAATGAGATGAGAGGAAAACGACTTAGATGGTTTGGTCATATTATGAGGAGAGAGGAATCAGAAGCTGAAAGAACAATTATGGAAATAAATGTTGAAGGAATAAGAGATAGAGGAAGATCAAAAAAGAGGTAGAGACATGTTATTGAATACAATATGAAGACGGCTGATGCGAGTGTAGATAATGTGGGAGAACGCATCAGATGGAAGTTTAAGATAATGGTGGCCAACCCTAAGTAGTTCAGATTAAAGCGTGGAAAAAGAAGAAGGTGAAAAAATTAATTTTTTAGATTTAAATTCTAATAAAATTATAAAAATATTGAATGCTTATCTCATTTAAATAATATCTTAAGTTCTCAAAGTTTTGAATTAAGACATATATATTTAGTATATTAATGTACTTCATATGAACTTAATAAATATATTTACGATGGGCCTTTAAAATCTTCATCCGAATCATCATCGGTAGTAATATCTAAATTTGTTAACTTTTTTGACTTTTTGCGTCTTGATAAATGTAGCAAGGCAGGAGCAATAGGAGATCCATTATCTTTATCAAATTCATTTTCAGAATCAGTCTGATCATTATTTTTATTCGACTGTTGATTAAGTTTGGGTAGTTCAATATCTTGTCCATCAGTTTCTCCCTATAATTAATTAATATTTATTAAGGATAGAGAAAGTTATTGATAAAGATTTTTCTAATAATTCAAGATTAAAATATGAACAAAGTGTTCAAAAAAATGTATCTGTTTCTTTAGAATAAAATTCAGCTGGGATATTAAAAAAAAAAAAAAAAATTAATCATTTTATCTTACTGATATTGCTTCATTAATCATTTCATCATAGTCATTAAAACGATAACTGACATTAGTTTGACGGCGTGCTCTAAGCTTGTACAATGGTTCAGAATTGGAGCTATCAGAGTCTAACTCTGAAGATTCATCGAAATTGTCTTCTTCTACATCTTTATCAGAATCATCATTTTTGTCATTTTTACTTTTTACATCATCAGTTTTAGAAATTACATTTTGTAAACTTATTCCAACATATGCCAATCTTTTTCGTCTAAGTTCTTCATTTTCACGTTTTTTTGCTTCACTATCAAACTTTTTCAAGGTAGCTCTTAATCCATTTAGTAACGACTCCTAATAAGTATGTTAATAATTAAAATATGTAATTGAAAATTAAAAATTTTTACTTACATGTTTACAAGGTGGACAATACCAGTCACCATCAGGTATAACCATTAATGGAGGTCGTAAACAAGATCCGTGCCATCCTTGATTACAAGTATCACATAAAAGAATCCAATCAGGGTGGTCACTTTTATTACATTTTTGACAAGGCATGTCATCAATAATTTGTTCACCTTGACCTTAAATTAATAACTTTTATAGATTAAAAAATTTGCTATTTGATTAATATTGTTATTTACTTTTTTTGTGAGCAGTTCTAGCCCTTTTTTCTGGTAAATATTCTTCATCATCATCATTAATATCTGATTCAGGTGAAAATTCATGGTCTGAGACATTGGGTTCAATGCCAGGTCTTGGAACTTCATCTTCTTCTTCATGGTAATAATCTTCAAATTCTTCAACATTATTATCAGATGAACTATAAAAAAAGTAAAAAAATATCATATTATAAAACAATAAAAAATAAATTTATTCATCGGTAGAGTGAAATGTAAACAAATAAGGTAATTTTAAATTAAATATTTCATTGAGAATATTCAGTAAATAAAACTTTAAATTCTAACCCTTAAATTTATTAAATGAGATGCGTTAAATTTTTCCATAAAAAAAATCTTGAAAAATAATAACTTGAACATAAAAGTGTAAAATTCATTAATTTTTATTAGTAAAAATAAAAAGTTAACCTAAATTTAAATATGATAATGAAATACAAATTTTAGAAAGAAATTGGAAATAGCAAATTATAAAGGAATATAGTATGCTCCTTATGTTATATATTATATAACATAAATTTAATATGGTAAAAAAAATAGTTGTTAACACACCTTGAATCAGAATCAACATTCCATGGATTTTTCACATTAATTGCTTTTAAATTATGTGTCTTTCCTTTTCTTTTTTTTTTCTTAAATTTTTTAGAAAGTGAAGCATCATCTTCTTCTTCATCATCATCAGATTCTATAGACTTTGTAATCTATAACAAATAATTATTTATTATGATAAATATATTATAAGTATAAAAATTTGGTAAGAAAAAATGTTTTGATAGTAACATTTATCAAGTTTCAAAAGATAAATAATAAAACACCTTCTCACCTGCACATCTAAGCTAAAATGTAAGTAAAATAATAAAATAATAAGAATAAATAAGACATTCATTTTGAAAGATTAACTAATGCATACAGAGTGGAGGAATTACATATATATAAGGTTTCTAAACATTTACTTACATTTTTAGCTTGGTAATTTCTTTTTCCTCCTTTATCTCTTTTCTTCTTCTTCTTTTTACTTCCATCATCATCATCATATGTATCAACAGGAAGTACTTGTTCTTTAATTTTGATTTCAGCAATACGTCTTGACCTACGAATATTTTCACAACCTTCGTTTTCAACATTTTGTGATTCTTCAATTAGGGAAGCAACTGAAAAAATTATATTTTTAATAGGCAAATTATAAAAAAAAAATGGAAGTTAAATAATACAACCTTTACTTTGACGAGGTTTACGTTGTAGTTTAACAGTATTATTCACTTCTTTCATTTCCGATTTTGCAACAGGCTTTTTAGCTTTTCCTCTTCTTCCTATAACCAAACAATAATAACATCAGTATTAAGAATATAACAACAAAAATGTTGAAGTTTAAGTCGTATAAACAAATACACATCAATTTTATCAAAACATAGATATAATAAATTATTGTTTATGATTTATACAGGTGATCCTCTAACCCACTTAATTACTTATAAAAAAAAAAAATTATTTCAGAAATCTTCTTTTTGACTTTTTTGAAATATATATACTTGTCTTCAAATCAATTATTAAGTACTTTAAAATTTTAGTAATATTAAGTACTTTTATAAGGTTGCCAACTTTATTTTTTTAAATGAGAATATATATTTTTAAGTTGCTTACATAATAGAAAATGCTTTGTCAATAACAATTTTTAGGTCAGTACTTCTGAAGATGTTAATAATTATAAATCAAGATGAGAGGGTTATGACTAAGAAATGTCTAACGATAAAAATATTTATACTTGTGCTTATCCCACAGTCTACATTTTAAAATTGTTTGGGTACAGTTCATAGTGTTATATTTACACCGACTGCATTACATACCCACTCTATTTATTACAATACTTGTAACTCAATAAATACTTATATTAAAGTTGTCATCGACCAATTAAGATTCTTTGTAAAAAAATATCTAAAAAATCCAGCACAGGGGGGTCGCGGCACAGTGGTGCGTGGCATAGTTGGATCAAGTATAATGATGTCTGATAGTGATTAAAATCACTATCAAAATAAAACGCTTCGAAGCAAATCTTTAGATAGTGTTTAATTTTAAAAAATTGGTGTATTATTCCAAAAGCTACATGATCTGCTAGTTCCTTATTAATATCCTGATTAAGATAAAGTATGTCAAATGACAAAGGGATTATAAAAAAATATTATTTTTCATAAAAAAATTGTGTTGATCCATACACTTTTCAATAAGTTATAGCATTATAAAGTTAAAAATGTAAAAAATAAAATCGAGAATATTTACACAAAAATAGCATTTGGTAACCATTTTCACCATGAAGACAAGTCCAGAGGTCAAATTTTTTTTTTTCAAAACAAAGTACATTATATACATACAAATCTTTAATATAAGATACATAAAAATGTGTCAGACCTTCCGGAACACTTTCAAAAGTTAAGCTGAAAAAGTTCTACTTTCTATATGCATTTTTTATATTTGAAGCCCCCCCTGTATATAGGGAAATGGTCTGATTTAAAAAAAAAGTATGTCGAATAAAAGATGTATATAAATACTACTTCTCATGAAAAAATTGTATTAATCCATACATTTTTTTAAAAGTTATAGCATTTTAAAGTAAAAAATGTAAAATATAAAATCGAGAAATTTCACACAAAAATAGCATTTGGTAGCCATTTTCACTACAAAGACAAGTCCAGAGGTCAAATTAATTTTTTT